TTTCATAGCATCATCTTCTAGGATTTGAAATAGCTCAACTGGAATTCCATAACCTCCATTAGCTTTGTTCAAAATGATGCTTCCTAAGGCCCACTTGACTTCGCAGTGTAAGACTAGGAGAAATGAATATTGTGAGATAAAGGCTGAATAGCTCGTCCGACATACGTCAACCTAAATAAAGAGGTAAACTGAGACAAGTTCAAATTACCAAAAATAGAGTTTATTCAGGAATAGCAAAGGCATTACAATTCAGGAAGCTCATGATATATAGCAAGGTAGGTCTATTGAGGTTTTGAGGTAGTTGTATATATGATCAAGAATGCAAAGAGGGGCAAGTCCAGTCAGATTAGGGGCTATTCATTGATTAGGAGATAAGTCTCTGTCTTCTGTAAATTAGGCATTTTAGGGGAAATAAGTCTCTTAGCTCTTACCTCCCATTCTTCAGAGGGTGCACATGTGACATTTCATTTCATATCCTCTGGTTTGGTTTTAGCTTGAAATCCTTTCACACATGCAAGATTGTTGGGGGTATTTTGGTTTATGTGCAGCTACTCTCTAGGATTTTGTGGAACCAGAAGTGGCAGCAGTAAGAATTCTACAGAAGCATTTTTATGGCTGGGTGCTTCTGGCAGTGTAGTGTAATCTATACTTGATTCTGGTCTCCAAGAAACTCTGTGAATGCGTAAGAAACCCCTTTTAATTTAACCTTATTTGTGTGGATTCTATTCAGGAACTAAGATCCCTGATTAGTTAACAACATTGTTCTCTGCAGTTATGGTAAATCTATACAGTGGGAAACAAAGGCCAACATAATTCAGTTAAAAAGGATGATGATCTGTATTTGAAGTAAAGTAAAATTTAAAGGAGTTTAGGCAATTGATGGAATATAAGAGAAAGCCTTAACATTGGGAACACTGTAAATGACTTCTGACTTTTTAGTTAGCTTTCGCATGGCGAGATTTACCCACCATAGATCAGTCTACAATTTCTACTCCTCCATGAACTGTGATGTTTTGCTCACCTCTCTGATTGATAAATATCATAGTTCTCTTTTTTCTTTCTTGTGCTATCCCACAGCCATAATAATCTCTTCTCTTTACCCATTCCACTGATTATGACCCTTGTTTCTCCTTTTATATTTCTATTCCTGTCCACATTGCTTGATTTTCTTTCTTCCTCAGCACTCCATCCTAGTACCCTTACCTACCATTACCACTATCTTTTCTACCTCTTTCCTACTGTGCTACTCTTTCATTCACATGAACTTCATACCCAGATATCAGATTTCCCAAGACAACTTTCTTGGACCAGGCCTGTTGGAAGTTTGTTGCCAAACCTTTGATGATGACATAATGCTTCAAGTGATCTATGTCCAAGGTCTTGATAACTAATGCACCTTAGATAAAAGGTGCCTGAGAATTCTCACTCCAGCCCTCCTTATTACTCACATATGATTTTAAAATATGTTATATATTTATAAAATACATAAAACTGGTAAAGTTTGAACAATGGTTGGATACTTGATGATCCTATTTTTGGTATTGTTTTTAGATGTGATAATGATATTGTGATTATGTTTTTCAAAAGCATCCTCATTCTTAGAGATACTTAAGTTTCCGCCTTGTGTCAGTCATATAGGAGCTGGGCAGAAGGAAAAAAATCAGTAATACCGATTCTCTATTTAAAATATTGATATTGTATTCAATATAGTTTTTTTGCATTAATTTTTACTTAAAAATACTTTAAAATGTTATTGTCTGTATTGCAAAGCTTTTTGAAAGTCTCCTAAATTTTGTGCCCGAGGCAAGTGTCTAACTCATCTTAGTAGGGGCTGTGTTAAAATTTATTAATGACACGTGTCTGAGATTCAAGCACTGTGTTGGAAAGAATGAGGGCTGGGTTATAGGTTAATAACATTGCCATGAGTTGATAGAAGGTGTGAGACAGGTACATCGAATTCATCATACTGTTCTATTTTTGCATATATACTTTTGAAGTTTTCCCAAACGACTTTTCTGTCAAACCTTCCCAACCCATTTAGAAGGCAGGGCCTAGAACAGCAGAAGCACAGGAAGCTGTAGCAGCTAGAAGTAACCACAGAGACGCGGAAACCTCCCAGGTTCCTAGAGGGGACCTGGAAATAAGGCCAGTGAAAGTAAACCATCTGTCTCTCTATTCGACCCCAGAGGCTTACGTGTTGGCGGTCTTGTTTTCCTGGCAGCTGGCCTCCGCGATCTCCTGAACAAACGCCGTGAATCTCGTGCCCAAGCAAGACTGCCTAGACCTTCCAGGCAGACAGAGAAGGACCAGGCTTCGCAGCCTCTGACCTGACAAAGGCAGGACTTTGGTAAATATCCAGACACCGAAGTCTGGACTAGAGCTGGCCCCAGTGGCGCATATTCTTGCCCAGAAGCAGCAGCTTGCAAAAAATCAGGAGGTGTCAGCGGGCAAGGATGAAGGCAAGTAAGTTTCGGCGCTTTGTCCCCGGACCCCAACACAACCCCCGCGGGTTTGGAAGCTGAACCTAATCGAAGATTCTGCAGAGACGTATCTGGCGCGAGAGTAGATGGCATAGGCCTGGACGCTCCCCATCACCAAAGTCCATCCGGAAGCTGCCTTGCCTTGTGGGCGGTAATAGGTAGCGAGTCATGGTTTCTGGGTGTGTTTGTGAGGGGCGGACACATGCCGGGAGAGATTCAGGCGCTTGAGCGACAGGTGCTGGAGAGATCACGTGCTCTAGATAATGATACCTAGTGGAGAACCGTTACCCGGAAGGCAGAAATGTTGCGACTGTGTCAGGCGCACTGTTTGATGATTCTGGGCATCAAATAAATATGAGCTGTGTAGTGGTTGGGAGCGGGGCTAGTCATCAGAAAGTAGCAGTACGTCTCCAGCCAGCCTGCTCTCACCTTAGAATCACTTGGAGGGCTTTTAAATTTCCCAGGTAATGCCAGTGTGCAGCGGGTGGAAATAACCACTGGGCTACTGTCCGATCCAAGAAGGGCATCTGACTCTTTGCTCTTCTGGGCAGAAACCATTCTTCTAACACTGTCCAGTCGAAGCCATGAGGCCTAACTGGCACTTAATTTGTGTATAGAGGTTCTCAGAAGGAAATTTATCAGCAGGGTACTGAGTCCAACACTTGGATAATACAAGGAATGAGTAGAGCGAGTTCTCATTTTATCCTACTTAATCTGAGGCACTCAGCAGTATTTTTTTCTGTTTAAGCAGATTTTTCTTCAATTAAAAAAAACCCAAGATCATTTTGTAGTTTAAAAATCAGACATATTTGAAGAGATGGTTTTATATTAGCCCACAAGTTTCAGCCAGGTTGTGGCCTGTGTCAGAATTTCTTTTCAAGGCTGAATATTCTTCCATTTGCATGCCTATGCCATGTTTTGTATATCCATTTATTCATTGATGGGCACTTGGATTGCATTCACCTTTGGGCGATTGTGAATAATGCTGGTATTGCATATGAGTGGACAAATATTTCCACAACACCCTGCTTTAAGTGCTTTGGGAGTGTATACTCAGAAGTGGAATGGCTGGGTCATCTGATTGTACTTGTAATTTTTTGAGAAACTTCCATACAGTTGTTTTCCATAGCAATTGCCCCATTTTACAGTTCCACCAACAATATGCAAGGCTTCCAATTTCTCCTTCTTCTTGCCAACACTTGTTGTTTTCTGAGTTTTTTGATAGTAGCCAATATGGGTGTGAGGTGGTACTGCTGTGGGTTTGATTTGCATATGCCTAATGATTAGTATCATCACACATATTTTCCTGTGCTTATTGGCCATTAATCTATCTTTTTTGGAGAAATGTTTGTTCAAGTTCCTCTCCCATTTTTCAATCAAGTTGTTTTTTGTGTGATTTTTTAAAAGATTGAATAATCTCTTGGATCTGCTATTTTTTGTAGTAATGGTAGATAAAAAGAGGGATGCTCAGAAATACGTCTGGCATCATGTTCAGTTCTGGCTTTTTGAATGTGTGTATAAAGAAGGATTCTTGTTTTCCAGATGGACAAGGTGGAGAGAGAGTACAATCTCAGGTAGCAGAATTGTAAACAAATGCAGGTCTGAGAAATAGCCTGCTGACCTTTGCTAAAGTGTAAAGCAATAGCAGGTAAGTCTGGAGAGAAAGAGCTTTATAGATCTTGTAGGAGACTTAAAGGTGCATCTTGTAGTCTAATGTCATCCAATAGAACTTTGCATAATGGTGGAAATGTCCTACATCTGTGTTGTCCACCATGGTAGTCACTGGCTACCTGTGGCTGTTGAACACTTGAAATGTGCCTAGTACTGTTGAGTCTATTTTACTGAATGTTGATTAATTTTATTAGCTCCATTCACCACATGTGGGGAACTTCTGGAAACATTTTTTAAAAGCAAGTGACTTCTCTAAAATATAAGTTATGAAAGGGAGGCTCTGTGACTTGGCTGGCATGCTCCATCAACTCTACCCTCCACTCCTTTTCTCTTCTCTCTTCCTATCTGGAATTCAGACGAGACTCCCGGAGGAACGGCAGCTATTCTCAACCTGTGGTAATGAAAGCCACTGAGCAAAGACAATTGAGCAAAGAAGACAGAGGAGCCTGGGAACTTCATGGCATTCTTGACCAGTGGTGCTAGCCCTGGATGATTGACCTCAGGGCCTCTTGTTACATGACATATGCTAACTCCTTTCTGTTTAACCCACTGCAGTAGAATTTTATTTTGCAGTGAATCAAACTCTAACTGATGATATTGGCTAATGTGTGTTAGTACTTGCTTTGGGCCAGTGGACTTCTAAGAATTTTTATATACTAACTTTATTTTTTAAGCACAACTATATTTTAAAAATTTACTTATTCTTTAATTGAAGGATAATTGCTTTATGTAGTAATATTTTTAATCCACACAGTGAATGAATTTATGAGATAGATGAAAGAAGCAAGCAGCATTAATGTCACCTGGAAATTTGTTAGCAATGCAGGTTTGGGGGCCTGACCCCAGAGCTCCTTAGGCGGAATCTCTGGGAACAGGGCCCACAGTCTGTGTTTTAACAAACCCTCCAGGTGATTCTAGTGTCTACTGAAGTTTGACAACTTTATAGATAGGGCATTTTTACTGTCCCCATTTTACAGGTAAGTAGACTGAGCTGAATTTAAGTCATTTGCTCAATGTCACACAACTAGTAAGACTAACTCCTAAGTTTGTGTTTGTAGCCACTGTGTGACATCACATGTTAAGAATTCCTGCTCTAGAGTAGTAGCCTTCAAAATCTGAAAGCATACCCCTTTGAAAAATTATGTACCCCTTGTATGTACATTTTTAGATCAGCATCTAAAAATTTCAAATCATAAGTTCAAACAGTTGTAAAGAATGTGATTTCCAGTACATTGTAATTTGTGGCATTTTTTAAATGTGTTCCATCACTCTTCTAAATGTATCTAAATACTGTAATGAATATTTGGTTAATGGACTATCATCTATTTAAAAAAAATAGATTTTCTTTAACATTTGACATTTTATATCCTCTCTTTTGTATCTGAACTTGTATTTTCATTCCTCCACTCCACAAAAACACATTGTATTGTAACATGGTTGTTTTTTTATCTACTCTGTTGTACTTCTCTGTATGACTATATAGCTTTGAGTTAACAATTTGTTTCCTTCCTGCATTGTTATTGCAGTTTTTGTTATAGCAAATCACTGAGTGTATTAATATCTTGATAAGTTATAAATGTAAAATAAAATTGAATTGCAAACTCTTCTCTTAATGACATGGATGGGACTAATATTTTCTAATTAATTTGTGTATCCATGGGTGAGTAGTCCTGTTGCAAGACTGATGTTGCAAGGTTCAACATCAGTTTTATGTCTATTTAATTATTAGAGATATGAAGTAATTAAGTAGTTAGGAATTAAAGGAGTTTTGAAATATGAATGCAATTCCAATTTATCTAACCCCTATATCACATGCTAAAATCACATTATCATTAAAATTTTCTGTTACTCTATTGTTGACAACTGAATTGGACTCTCTTTCATTTTTGAAGGCACAGTTCAGTTCAGTTCAGTTGCTCAGTCATGTCACTCTTTGCAGCTCCATGGACTGCACCCACGCCAGGCTTTTCTGTCCATCACTGACACCCAGAGCTTGCTCAAACTCATGTCCATCGAGTTTGTGATGCCATCCAACCATCTCATCCTCTGTTGTCCCCTTCTCCTCCTGCCTTCAGTCTTTCCTAACATCAGGGTCTTTTCCAATGAGTCAGTTCTTTACATCAGGTGGCCAAAGTATTGTTGGAGTTTCAGCTTCAGCATCAGTCTTTTCAATGAATCTTAAGGGCTGATTTCCTTTAGGATTGACTGGTTGGATGTCCTTGCAGTCCAAGGGACTCTCAAGAGTCTTCTGCAACACCACAGCTCAAAAGCATCAATTCTTCTGTGCTCAGACGTCTTTATGGTTCAGCTCTCACATCCATACATGAATATTGGGAAAACCATAGCTTTGACTAGATGGGCCTTTGTTGGCAAAGTAATGTCTCTGCTTTTTAATATGCTGTCTAGGTTGGTCATAGCTTTTCTTCCAAGGAGCAAGCGTCTTTNGCTGAGTTTTCCAAATTTGCTGGCATATTGAGTGCAGCACTTTCATAGCATCATCTTTTGGAATTTGAAATAGCTCAGCTGGAATTCCTTCACCTCAAGAAACCATCTGAGTCTGCAAAAGAATTTTGTTAATCAGTCTTTAAAGACATTCACTTTCTTACTGTTAGCATTATTTAGAGTTGTTTTGTCAGATGCTTTGAGGAGACTTTGTGTCTTGGGGAAATATGATGGGTATGCTATCGATGGTTGAAAGTTATCTCCTTTTTCTTAGTGGGAGAAGAGTTGCGACAAAAGAAGGTGGGAAAACAGAGTTTTCAGGCAGGTCAGTCCTAAATGAATCCACATACATGTCCAAGATCAGGAAAATGATTCATTGTGTCCATTTATTCCCAGGGATATACATACTCTAGTTTCGATACTAAGCGATACCTCTTAAAATTACTATTGGCAGGTCTCTTCCTCTATCCAGAAGCCTGGGAGGGTGGGAACTTAGCCCCCCTCCACCACCAGTGCTTCATACGTAATGTTGAAATGCATGCTACAAGACAAGTAGTTTAAGGAATCAGTTGGTGGCTATTTTTACTTTATGTGTTAGATATGAAATTAATACCTATGATACGTAGTATATGTAACAGGGAACATATGTGTATATTAATCTAAAATACTAATATCAGTTTCCAGGTGTCCATAGAGATGAAACGTGAGGGTCACTCAGAGAGTCAGTAGCAGGACCCCAAGAAAGGGACAGAAGTAACAAAGATGGAGAGTGGCCCCCAGAGGCACTTGACACTCTACCTGACACAATTCAATTTTCCCTTATAACATTTCCGGCTTCACATTTTACATTATGTGCTTTAAAAAAATAAACAAATAGAAATCTATTAGTTTTCTGTTGCCGCATAACAAGTTATCATAGTTTAGCAGATTATAACAATGCCCAAGTATCTACTCAGATTTCTGTAAGTAAGAAGTATGAACACTAGGTAGCTGAGTTCTCTGCTACCTAGGATTTAATGAGGCTGAAATCACACATGGGGCTGCATTCCAAGCTCTCACGGTGTTGGTAGAATCCCTGCATTCTTGCTGTTGGCTGGATGTTCTCAGCTCCCACTGGCCACCTGCGTTCTGTTGGCCCCCTCCATCTTCAAAGCCAGCAACAGAGACTCTCTCCCACTTCGAATCCCTCAATTCCTCTCACACATACAATCTCTGACTTCAGAAAGGGCCCAATCCCTGTCGAGGGCTCACCTAAGTAGGTCAGGCTCTCTCCCGATTATCTTCCTTTTTCAAAGTCAATGGTTCTATGTAGCATACCCTAGTCATATCCACAGTATGAGGGATTGTGCAGGACTGGTACATCAGAGGGAGGGCATCTGTGTTACCACTGAATTCTGCCTACCTCAAGAAACAACAGTAGAAGTTGGATTTGGGTAGAAATTGCCAGCAGCCCCCACTGACTGGAGGAATTTAATCAATTCAGATACAACAGGTTCAGACCTTCTCTGTGGCAGAGATGGGAATGGCATGGTGATTTTAGATCTCATATGAGTCTCTCATGAAGGAAAGTATATAATTTAACTCCTGTAGGGATGGAACTTGGACATTGGTGTCATCAGCATTATAACTTAAACTACTTTGCAAACCAACCACTAGGAGATTGCTGTGTTTTCTCTTCAGAAAGGTTCAATATGAGTAAAATCTTTGTTCCCTGGAACCTCATTTCAGAAAAAAACAAACCCTTCACTCACTCTTTCTCTACCCCATCCAAGGGAAAGAAACAAGAATATCCAATTTTGTTAAGGATGAGTCTTGCCTCTCCATGGAAACTTGGTGTTTCTCAAACCAGCTTATTCAGATGAGTTCTCAGGAGGAGCTTCCTTCCTCTTCCCAAGATGACCAGGAACAAACACAATGCTGATGACTATGACTTGAAACCCGAGGAAGCTTATGAAAATGACCCACTGAGCTGTCTAACTCCATTGGGGTTAGAGAACTATGAAATGTGGAATATAGGTATTTGATCTCAAAACATAAGCAATTTAACTATCAGGAAAATTTTTATCTGATTTCTGGTTTTCTTTTAAAGACTGCTATAAAGGAAGAGTGTGAGTTTCTTCTAAAGAGGAAGGAAACTAACCTGCAGAGTGGCAAAGATAATATGGGTATTCAGAGTGGCAAAGAGCCCTTCCTAATTTGCCAGCCCTTCTTAATATATTATCTTTTCACTCTTCAAGTGTCTTCCATGAAGTAGGGATTATTATCCCCATTTAACACATGAAGAAATTGAGGCTCAGAGAGTTGGTGGGAAAGCCAGAATTAGAGTATATGATTGTTGAGTTTTAAAGTCCATGCTCTTTCAAATCATCTTGAAGATGCCAGACTTCTGGTCCTCTGAATTTTAAAGAGAACAGAATTTAATATGCTGGAATTTCAATTGTTGGATATAATATGGGTATTCAATAATGGTGCTGAGGTCACTGGTAATCTGCTGGAAATGAAGTAGAGTTGGACTGATACCTAACATATTAGGTCAGAAAAAAATTAAAATATATCAGAGATCTAAGTTTAAAAAGAAGTAATGAACATTCTAGAAGAAATGAGTTATTTTGTTACTCTTGTTGATCTTGTATAGGGAAAAGGCATATCCAAGTTAGACATAAAACCAAAAGAAAAGACTGATAACTTCACCCTCATAGTCCAAAGTCTGCAGTGTCCAAAATTGCCACAAAGTGCAAATGAACTGCTTGTTACATATCAAAACATGACTTATCGACTCATTTAAAGAACTTTCTACAAATCAAAAGAGAAAGACCCAGCAATCATGAAGAAAAATGACTCCAGGATTTTAAAAAACAGTTCACAGAAAAGGAAGTACACATGGCTCTTAAACATAAAAGATGTTCCATAACACCACCACAAGAAAAGTGTAAATAAAAACTCCACTCAGTCAGTTCAGTCACTCAGTCGTGTCCGGCTCTGCGACCCCATGAACCGCAGCCCGCCAGGCAGGCCTCCCTGTCCATCACCAACTCCCCGAGTCCACCCAAACTCATGTCCATCGAGTCGGTGATGCCATCCAACCCTCTCATCATCTGTCGTCCCCTTTTCCTCCTGCCCTCAATCTTTCCAGCTCTTTGCATCAGGTGGCCAAAGTATTGGAGTTTCAGCTTCAACATCAGTCCCTCCAATGAACACCCAGGACTGATCTCCTTTAGGATGGACTGGTTGGATCTCCTTGCAGTCCGAGACCATATTTTACATTTCAAACTGGAAAAACAAAATAGAAGAAAACACTTGTATTCTGCTTTTGAGGAATCAACCATGCTTTCCAGAGTGAGTTGGAGTGACAGCCCAGGCAGAGTTGAGCTTTCTCAGTAGGATGCTTTGGAAACCATGAGAATCCTCCTCACTTCCCCGGGGGCTACAACGAACTTTTTTTCACTATTGCCTGAAGAGCAGATGGGGTCCAAGTTTCCATTTCTCTTGGAATTCAGAGCTGAAGTATTTAAATCTCTTTAGGCAGATTGTTGATTTGGTCGGTTTTCCTATGATGGCAATTTAATAGAACTGTGCAGGGAAATAATTCACACACTTAATACTGCCTACTGAAGCAATCTATTTAGGTTTGAAGACAAGCAGTGTTTACACAAAAGAACAGAAAAACAGATATGTAATCTATCAAATTTATTTCTAAAGGCCAGTGTTCTCTCAGGAAAGATTTAGAAGAGCAAAATTTTGCCTACCGAGAGTGGGGTTCGAACCCACGCGGGCATTAGCCCACTGGATCTTAAGTCCAACGCCTTAACCACTCGGCCATCCCGGTTCCTGAGGACCACTGTTCTGCAATTATTTTTTTAAAATAGAACCAATGTATTGTGCTGTGCATTTAAGAAAATACTGAATTATCTCTGGCTTTGTGGAATTGCATCAAAGTATGAGGAGGATTATGACTGAGAAAACACAGCAAGCTCTCTGTGCTTTCTGAAACCGCTCACTTTTTCCTGTCCGCTCTCACTACATCACCTCAAATCCAGAGAAATGCTTGTCTTTCCTCAAGTTGTTGTTAGTTGCTAAGTCGCGTCCGACTCTTTTGCGACCCCATGTACTGTATCCCTCCAGGCTTTCCTGTCCATGAGATTTCCAGGCAAGAATACATGAGTGGGTTGCTAGTTCCTTCGCCAGGGAATCCCGTCCCAGGGATCGAACAGGAATCATCTGAATTGGAGAATTTGCATTCATTAATGCTGACCCACCAGGGAAGCCTAAGAAAAGAAGAATGGACTACGAGAGAATCACAAAACTATTCTAAGTTCACTACTGGCTAGTTACTTATCAGTAGCCATTGTAAACTCCAGAAGTGGAGATCGAAAACTCCCAGATGGAGGTGCCGGGGATTGAACCCGGGGCCTCGTGCATGCTAAGCACGCGCTCTACCACTGAGCTACACCCCCGATGCTCACTTTGGGCCGTAAGGAACATACGAGTGGGAGGAGGCCAGAGAGTAGCGAAACTACCACCCTAACGCCAAGCACAAGGCTTCTCAGGTACCTCTACCGAAGGCGCTGTCCCAGTTTTCCCTGAAGAGATTAGCGGTTTGCCTCCTGAATTCAACCCGGCATCGCATGACAACAGACTGGGGCCCAAAAGACACTATATTGAAACGAGCTCACTTTGGGATTACATTTGGGAATCACTAGTGGACCCAGGAAATGGCAGCCCACTCCAGTGTTCTTGCCTGGAGAATCCCAGGGACGGGGGAGCCTGGTGGGCTGCCGTCTATGGGGTCGCACAGAGTCGGCCACGACTGAAGCGATTTAGCAGCAGCAGCAGTAGACCCAGAGGCAGTTCAAACTCGTGACTTTGATTTTAATGGCAAAATGCTTTCACTGATAGACCAATATGTCCCTAAAAGAAACACATTGGGCTGGGTACAGGCTGTGGTTTTTGCTCAGTCCCTGAGTCGTGTCCTACTCTTTGCCACTCCATGGACTGCAGCCCGCCGGGCTTCCTTGTCCTTCTCTATCTTCCGGAGTCTGCTCAAATTCAGGTCCACGATGCTACCTTACCTTTTGCTGCCCCCTTACTCATCTGCCCTTAGTCTTTCGCAGCATCAGGGTTTTTTCCCCCAATGTGTCAGCTTTTTGCATCAGTAGGCCAAGGTATTAGATCTTCAGCTTCAGGATCAGTCCTTCCAATGAATATTCAGGGTTGATTTCCTTTAGGATTGACTGGTTTGATCTTCTTGCTGCCCAAGGGGCTCTCAAGGGTCTTCTCCAGCATCGCAGTTCGAAAACATTAATTCTTCGGCACCCAGCTTTCTTTATCGTACATCTCTCACATCCATACAAGACTGCTGGAAAAACCAAAGCTTTGACTGTACGGACATTTGTCGGCAAAGTAGTGTCTCTGCTCTTTAATATGCTGTTTGTCATAACTTTCCTTCCGAGGAGCAAGCATCTTTTAATTTCGTGGCTGCAGTCACCGTCCACAGTGATTTTACAGCCCAAGAAAACAAAATCCGGCACTGGTTCCACTATTTTCCGTATATTTATCCTGAAGTGATGGGACTGGATGCCATGATCTTATTTTTTTTATGTTGAGTTTCAAGCCAGTTTTTTTACTCCGCTCTCTGGGTGGTCTGGTACTCCCATCTTTTTAAGAATTTTCCTCGGTTATTTGCGATCCACACAGTCAATGGTAGTAGTCAATGGTAGTAATCAATGAAGCAGAAGTAGACTTTTTTTTAATGCAGAAGTAGATTTTTTTTTTTAATGCTATGATCCAATACATGTTGACAATTTGATCTCTGGTTCCTCTGCCTGTTTGAAACCCAGCCTGTACATCTGGAAGTTCTCAGTTCAGGTACTGCTGGCTACAGACAGGAAGACTAGAACTTCAAGTGCTTCCAGAAAAGACAGCACTTGTGACAATGGGGAATCCAATCTTTGCACTCAAAAGTATCCCCCGGAAGACTTATTACAAATGCAGATTCCAGAACCTCTCTTGCGATGCTTCTTTAATAAATAGGGTAGATTCCAAGAATCTTAATTTTATCAAGGACTCCCAGGTAATCCTAACATCGGCTTAAATGGCAACAGTCATTTGGAGTGCTGAAAGTTGTCATGGGGAATTTAAGAATCCATGAAATAAGCTCCCAAATAGGAAATGTATGTATCTAGAGGAGACAGAGCTGAAATGAAATCCTGAAGCACAAGTTGGAATAGAATGAATTAATATTGAACACCTAATATGTGAATGTCTCTCAGGTAACCAAGAGAAACCCCACAATGAAAGGATCGTGTCAGTTGTACCAGATAAGCAAAGAGGGTCCAAGGACAACTGTTCCAAGTTTCGGGGGCAGTCCAATTTTTACTTGTGGCTCAGCTGGTAAAGAATCCATCTGCAATGTGGGAGACATTGGTTCGATATTTGGGTTGGAAAGATCCCCTGGAGAAGGAACGGCTATCCACTCCAGGATTTTGGCCTGGAGAATTTCAGTCCGTGAGACTTTCACTTTCTTTTCAATCTTAGACTGTTCGAACTGCCTCGGTCCACAACCAGATCTTTCTTTTTGATAAATTCATGTAAAGGAAATGGCCCCCTCAAGTCCTTTGGCTGTTCAATTCTGATTTTGAATCCCTGGTCAGATCAAATTTCCATTACTAGAAGGGATTCCCGTCCAAATGTACTTCGTAGTTAAAGCTCGCCGAAAGCAGTGAAATGAAAAACAACACATTGCGACGCATTTCACCGTGGGGGCTTCGTGGCTTAGTTGGTTAAAGCGCCTGTCTAGTAAACAGGAGATCCTGGGTTCGAATCCCAGCGAGGCCTTCCTCTTCTTGGCTTCATAAAGTAAAACCCTTAAAAGCAAACTTCATGGCCTCGGATCATTAATCTTCAAACGCTGCTGGAGAAGATACTTTGAAGGTAAGCAAAGAAGCAGGAGTTGGAAAATTAGTGGGTTGTTTCCTGGTTGAGTATTAAAATAGAATTTTGAGTAACAGTCGTTTTTCAGATGTGTCACTTGAAAACATTTTTTCTCTGTCTTGTTTTTTCATTTTTTGTTAAAATGTCTTTCACAGAGCAAGTTTTAAAATTTTAAGGAAGTTCACCTTTAATTCTTTCAGTAGATAAACAGTTTTCCTAGCACCATTAGTTGAAAAGACTGTAATTTCTCCATTGAATGGTCTTGGCAGTCTTGTCAAAAGCCAACTGATCATATATACAAGAATCTACTTGTGGGGTCTCTATTCTATTTCATTGGTCTTTATTTCTGGCTGTATGTCAGGACCACATGGATTTGGTTACTGTAGCTTTAAAGTAAGTTGTGAGATTAGGAAGTGAGAGGGCTCCAAATGTATTCTTCTTTTTCAAGATCTTTTTTGGCTATTTGGGGGTTCCACAAGAGTCAATGTTGATTTTAGGATGGTTTTTTTTTTTAATCTCTAAAAAATTGGGGATTTTGATAGGGATTGTATTGAAACTGCAGATCACTTTGGGTTTTATTGACATTATAACCATATTAGTCTTACAATTCATGAATACAGATATCTTTCTATTCACTAATATCTTCTTTAATACCTTTTTTTTCCTTTTTCTAAAGTTTTCTAGTTTTCAGTGTAAACCTGTTCCTCCACCTTGATTAAGTTCATTCCTAAACATTTCATTCTTGTTGATGCAATTGTAAAAGGAACTGTTTCTTAATTTGTTTTGGATTGTTCATTGTAAGTGAATAAACATGCAACTGATTTTTGTATGTTGAATTTTGTATCTTTCAATTTTGCTGAATTCTTTTATTAGCTCTAGTGTGTGTGTGTGTGTGTGTGTGTGTGTGTGTGTGTGTAAAATCCTCAGCACTTTCTATGTATGACATTATATCTTTCTCTTGCCTGCTTGTCCTGGCTAGAATTGATAGTACTATGCTGAATAGATGTAGTAAAAGTGAACACCTACGTCTTGTTCCAGGTATCAGAGAAAAAACTTACACTTTTTCACCATTGAAGGTGCTAACTGTGACTTCTTGATAAGTGACTTTTATCATGAAGATAAAATAGTTGCCTGCTATTCCTAGTTTATTGATCTTTTTTTTATCATGAAAGAATGTTGTCAAATGCTTTTTCTGCATCTATTGAGATGATCCTGTTCTTTTTTCCTTAATTCTGTTAATATGTTAAACCTCGCTTACATTCCAGGAATGTATCTTATTTGGTTGTGGTGTATAATATGTTGCTGTATTCAGTTTGCTAATATTTTGTTGAGGATTTTTGCATGTATGTTCATCAGGGATATTAATCTACAGTTTCCTTTTCTTCTAATGGCTTTGATATTAAGGGAATGCAGTCTTCATAGAATGAGTTATGTTCCATTCTTTTCAATTTTTTGGAAGAGTTTGAGAGGGATTGTGTTAATTCTTTAAATGTTTGGTAGAATCTACCAGTGAAAACGTCTAGGTTGGACTTTTCTTTGCTGTAATCATTTGATTACTGCTTCAATATACTTAAGTGTTATAGGTTGGTCTGTCAAAATATCTGTTTCTTCATGTTTCAGATTTGGTAAATGGTGTGTTTCGAGGAATTTGTCCATTTCATTTAGGTTATCCAATATGCAGTCATACAATTTTTCATAGTGTTGGCTTGTAATATTTTTATTTGTGCAAAATCTGTAGTAATATCCCCACTTGCATTTCTAATTTTAGTAATTTGAATATCTTCTTTATGTTTTTCTTTGTAAATCTAGCTAAACATTTGTCAATTTTGTTGAACTTTTCAAAGAGCCAAATTTTTGCTTCATTGATAATTTTTCTATTGCTTCCTGCCTGCCCTT